GAAAGTCACATGATGAACCAAAGCCCATCACAAACAGCTTTTCTAGGAGCTGAGGAGGGCAATATTTATATATAGAAGGAGCACAGTGTCATGCACACAAACACTAAACCCTATCACGGTGACACACGTGATACTGAAATAATGCACAACCACGCCTTCTTTCTTTGCGTGCACATTTGGGCGGCATTATGCTAATATTTCCACATAGTGAGGTAGATATGTGAGGGCGTGTTAGAACGAGCCGTTTTAGGGGGCGTGGCAGAGTCTTAACTTTGATAAAGAATATCTCTTTGGTTTTGAGACTTTAGTCTTTGCAACTTCAGGGATCTTATCTATGCACAATCAGCTTGTAACAAGAGAAAGAGAAAGGAAAACTTGAAATCGCATCATATGACCCCTTTAAACCCATTCGTTACATAAAACTAATCAATTAAGATGGATTACTTATTTATTTTAGGATAATTGAACTTTGATGGTTTTGGACTAAATTTAACGTTAACCTGATTCTACTAAATGGCATTGAATTAACCTTATGTAATAACCTTAAGTTGACTGAAATGTTAATTTAAATGCAACATAACCCAGTTACTTGGAGGCTGTCGACGAAGTAAATCCAACTTTTTTTTTTTTTTTTTCTTCTTTGAGCGATGGCTCATTTGTTTGTGCATGTGAAGTTATAATTTGACGGTTCAAGGCCCTGATCGAAGTCGTTCCCGTTCTTCTATAACTGGTCCGGTCATACAGGAGCCGATAGCAACACTTTTACCGACGGTCGCTGTACAGTTCACCTGTAGCTGTCCCAGCAACATTAAGGAAAAGGACAACCGAAACCTGTCTCCACGGATGTCCTACTATAAGTAGTATCCCTGCCTAACGGTTTCTCCTCCATACAGGTCAGCTGATGCAAGAGGAGATGAATATGAATGAGATACTCCTTGAGATGGTCCGAGGGAGCCTTCATTAACAGGTTGGTTTCTGTTTTGGGTTTTCTGTTTCAGTGCTGGCTGTGATGACAAACTTGCCCTCTCTGAGAGAACTGCTCTGTTATGACCCAAACGCTCCTGAGCCAAACGGCACTTCTGTGTTTATGGTGTTCTTTGTAACTTGACTTTAATGTTGTACGTGTATCTCCGTCAGATGGTGCAGTGCTGGCAGGGAGGAGACGCCCATCGCTGTGGGTCAGTGCACTGGTGAGCTCAGCATCTTTAGTGTCCTTTTGCATGTTTCCTGAGAATCTGTGCTGTCAGCGTATACCAGGTTCTCCACCAGCCGGTGTCTGCATCGATCACTCGACTGTCCAACACTCAGCACTGCTCTTGCATGACTTTTTCTGTGCTCTCTACTAATAGCCGTTCTCTTACAGGAGCTGATGGTCTGTGGGACCGGTGGAGCAAGTGCAGGTATGACGCTGCTGATGCTCGCAATAAAATGGTGATTCCTGATCAAGGATGACAGATTTGATGGTGACTGCTGGATGAAACTTGCGGATATGGGACTGAGATCAGTGCTTGTCAGTTTGAGGCATCTAGCATGTCTGTTGTGGCTTACAGTGTTTCTCTTATTTTAGGTTTCCAGTGGCTCCTGCCCAGCGAGTGGAAGCTGTTATCAAACCCAATAAAGTGTGGCTTTGTCTAACATTTCTGACTTTAGTAGTATTCTTGGTTGTGCGACATATTGCCCCAAAAATAATTGCGATTAAGCAATGTTAGTCATTTTATGCCACTAAATATATCAATGTAACGGCATAAGGCAAGAGAGCCTAAACCCTTTCAAATGAAGACCCTTAATTCTCCCGCCGCCCCCCCATAATATTGATGGAAATGATCAATATTTAACACTTTCTAGCAAAGTACCAAGTGGAAAAAAAATTAAAAAACGATTTTTCCCTGATATTTTCTGTAACTTAAGGGTGCATAATATTCCTGAAAAACAGTCACTATGCAGCAGTCAGATGTCTGTATGCACAGAGGCACCGATCCCTAAACAAGGCCATATGTGCAGGTTTTAAATGTGAATGAGCACCTCATGTACAAAATATGGTGACAAGTAAATAATATATTGATTGTGACAGGCCTAGCTGTTCAATTCACTTTAGACACTTTTAATAGTCTTTGTTCTGTAAAAGTGCCATTATTTCTGAATAAAGAATCCTTGGCTCTATGAAAAATTGGTATTTCTCTTTTGGACATTTTGAAAACCCGACAACTGTCAGCTTAAAAGCTATGCATGGGGGAACAAATCTTAAGCAGACATCTAGCAGTTTACACCTCATTTCCACTGGTTTAATTGGCAGCATCACATACAATGGAGAATGTGTTAATGAAGCTGCCAGTCTGGCAAATCCTGTTTTCACTAAAGCAGGCCCTGAAAAGAAATGAGAATAAATATAAAACTAAAGCTTGTCTGGAAACCATGCTGTATACAAATACAATGTCACGCTGCACTATACCATCAACTGATTCAATCCTGAGTGAGGGAGGGTAGTTTGAAGTCCGCGATCTCTGAGTCTGGAGAACTGCTGCCGCTCTGGTCACTGTATGTTTCTCTGTCAACAGAAAACCACTTTCGTTTGCTATCATGCAAAACTACTCAAAGGTTCTGATGCCTGGTATAACAAAACGATCTGCTGGTTGAAGAGATTTTGTCTGGAGTCAAAACAGTAAAACAGCAAACAGTTTTTTTATTGTGACGAATCTCTTGATATCATTGGCTGAGAGAAGTTTTGCTTCTCAGACATCGGTGCATACCGTGGTGAAAGCCGACAGCCTTTCTGAAGATAACCTGGAAGCCTCCCTGCAGCGGCTAACAACAGGCCAAAGTACGGCGGAGATGGTTTTATGGGTCTGGATGTGAATTCTGGGTGATACTGGACACCAACAAAATATGGGTGATCTGCAAAAACAAAAAAAAACTCAGTCAAATTACTGCAAAGCATATTTTTCTGTATTTCAATCATCAACAATGAACTGAACTGACTAAATGACTTCACTACTGTCCTCTTTCTAGGGCTGCATTATTGAAACATACACTGTAAAGCTGCTTTGACATGAGCTGTATTGTCTAAAGCGCTATATAAATGAAAGTGACGTACCATCCAGCTCGATGACCTCCATTCTCTCACCCTCCACGTCCTGACCCACAAAACGGAAGCCCTTCTCCTCAAAATGCTGCTTCAGCTCTGGGTTCACCTGCTCACACAGAACGAACAATATTGGTTTCATCCATGCTCGCACCCCTAAGAATACAAATACTCAGTACCAGATTTGTTTACATGGACTCATTTTAATCACTAACTTCAACTTGCTCGCTTCCATGTGCAATACATGTCTTCAGAACAAAACTTAACTGAGTATAATTGCTGTTGTTGCCAAGATATATATATATGTATAAAGAGCTTTATTAGATCATATTTAATACATATTCAGTCTCCTCCACTAACCAGTTCCTAAAGTGTAAAAAAAACACACAAAAAAAGCTCATATTACGTAAAATGTATGTTAAAGGAAAAATATTATGCCCCTTTTTACGTGTCATATAAGTCTCTGGTGTCCCCAGAATGTGTCCGTTAAGTTTCAGCTCAAAATACTCCATAGATCATGATATCATTTTGAAAATGCCTCTCTTGAGTGGAAGCAGAAACACGCCGTTTTTCGGGCCTGTCTCTTTAAATGCAAATGAGCTGCTGCTCCCCGCCCCCTTTTCCAGAATAGAGCTGCGCCTTTACAGCTCGGACCTGCTAAAAAAAATCAACAATGGCGGCTGAGCACCGTGGGTGGAAACGAGCAGCTTAATGAGCGGCAATATTATAATAAGAACCCCTTCCTACGTCAGAAGGGGAGAGAAATCTGATCGGCTCATTTTCTCACATTCTTGCAGAGAAAGGCTTACAAAACCAAACCTACTGGGTTCTTCTTTTTCATGTTTTC